CTTCTGCATGCTTATTCTTCCTAAATTTGCCATTCTTCTTCTCAGAAAGAAACAATCTCGTTTGAGATGTCCTTCTCTGTGCAGTTTTGACTTCCCTTTGTCATCTGTCTATACTTAGTATCTTTCCAGTTTCCTTTATTTTTACCTTTTGCATAATGTCCTTCAGCATTTGTGTTATCGCGTTTCACAACCTGTAGCTCTAATTCTTTCATTTTAACAGCTGAGATTATAGCCTCTGTTGAGATGGACACTCTACCATATTTCAATGCTGCTTTCACTTCCTTATAAGCCTCAGGAAGTGAGTTCAAAAGGATGAGAGCTTCGTTGTCATCGCCAATCTTTTCCTCTAAGCTTTTGAATTCTGATGATAGTTTCTTGAAGTCGTCAAGATTCTCACTTAGGGTCTTTGAGTTGTCCATCTTGTAAGTGAAATATTTCTCTCTGATGTATACCTTGTTTGGTAGTTCTCTAGAGAGAAAAATTTCTTCCAACTTCGTCCATATCTTGTATGCAGTTTCAGCCTCCATTACTTTCCTTAGAACATTATCACTGAGGTTGAGATGATTATCCCGTATACAATTTCTTCCATTTTTTCCCTTTCTTTTGCAATCATTGTCTCTGGTAACTTTGCTGGATCTAAAATGGCCTTGGATGCTTTCTGTTGTCCCAGAAGTGATTTAATCACCTTCCATAACTCAAAATCACCTTTGCCATAGAACTTGTCAATATCGATTCTTGCGACTGCCATTGATTCTTGATTTCGGTTTTAAGAGCTGCTATTCTTTCAACCAACGCTCTGATACCAATTTTGTTAGGGATCGAAGAACTCACGCACCTCTCTTTACTGAAGCAACCGAACACAAAGAGGAAAATAGAGAAGAAGAAGAAGAACACAAGAGAATTAAGTGGTTCGGTCAAGATGACCTACACCTACTGTCAGGGCAGTTTCTCTCTTTACTTATTTTGTAAGAAACAAGATTTTTACATAGTACAATCACTCACTCACCTTTAATTACAGAGAAGACTTTATAGGTTGTGTACCAGCCCTAACAACCTTAACCGAAAAAGTGAGAAGTTTACTAGCTTTGAGTAGGATTTACCTTATGGTAATTTACAGTATTTATGTGGGAAAATTAAAACCAGAAGGTCAAATAAGGAGATAATTAAGGGAATTTTAGGTGAGTTGCTAAATTTTGGCACCCATTTTAAAAAATGTCCATTTTTTTTCCATTCCATGTTTTTTTGGAAGTTACTTATATTTAAACACATGTTTTGAATTTTAAATTGTGTTTCATACCTTCAAGGAATTTTAAGTTAATTATTTTAATTTTTTTGTTTTGAATTTCAGTTAATTTAAACGATTTGCTATTGTTCTACGGTCTCTCATCTCATCATTCTGCTATTGTTCTATATCTTCTTCTTCTAAGCTCCCTCTTCTTTCTTTGCAACAATGGATTGTGTATTAATCACAATTTTATATGGTGGTACATGGGATGACAAAAATGTGTTCAACAATTTCAACATGTCTCCGATGTTAGTCCGAAAGAAGCATTGTCCCACCTTATTGAAGGCATTAGGAAGAAAATTCATTTAACAGACGGGGAAAAAGTTGCATCCATATCATTGATCAATAATAATAGTCATAAGTCTCTTATTATTAGACTAGCTGAAGATAGAGATGTCATGTGGTTTTTAACTATGTTGTCAAATGAGTTGAGGAGAGAGTACTGATTGTCGTTGATACTATGGATACACATATCAACTCCATAGGTGGGAGTAGGACACCATTCCAAATGAATGTAAATATCAACATTTAGCATAGTTATGAGAGTGCAGTCTACACTAGATAACATTGTTGTAGATACTCTCATTGACACCATGAATGGAAGTAGGAAATCAGTACACACCACATCTCACCATAAACGCAAGGAACTCATTCCGTCATTCGTATCAAAGTTGATTGAGAAAAGTCAGGTAATGTATATATATTTACTGATACTGTAGTTTTACTGGTGCATATTTACCAAATATTATCATGTAGGAACGTATGTGTAATTTTCTGAACTTGAGCATCAGCGTACATTTTTTTTTTTTATTGATTCTTCAATTTGGTTGTATATGCGTATATTTACTAATAATTATCATGCAGTATACAACCCATGAGTTTGACGTTAGAGGTAAATTCAAATACTTTTTTTATGAGTTTAGATGGGATGATGTGGGGGCGCGTGAAGTAAAGATGGGAGAAGATGAAGATACTCCTAAACCCTAACATTTTTAATTAAGTCAAAGGTAAGACTTAAATTGTCCAATTTACCTAGTAATAATCATATTTACCATCTTATTTCAAAATTTAAGATTTTAAAGGGATAAATGTCAAAATCTACCTCAACACATTTATAACAATTTTTTTCTTAATTGTACTTTCAAATTCTTATTATCAATTTTAAATTACTTTTAAGTTAATTATTTTAATTTGATTCAAGTTGATTCCCTAACATTGAGGCGGGTTGTTTTTGCTATTTCTTAAAAATCATATATCCCTAAAATTATGCATGTATACCTAATTGGTTACAAGAATATATTTGTTTAAAATGCGTTATTAATTTTGGTCATTCCTGCAGTTGCCCAGAGAATTAATTGACTTTAATTTTCTTGATGTTAGTGTAATTGACTGACTTTGGTGCATCTCCCATTATGCTCCTAAGTTGTTCGTTGGCTGAGATGCATGACAGTGATTGTTGGCTAATGTGGCAATGGCTGCTGTTGAGTTGTCATTGACAGTGATGGATTAAGAGCAAAAAATTTCTCACAACCAACAAGTTTAGAACAGAAATCAAATAAAGAACATGGAAGAGTAAAGTTTGATAAATGTTACATCAATGGCCTAGAAAAATGTATTTAGTTCATGCTACAACTAAGAGCAACGATCAACATCTCAATGTTCATAAGAAATAGAGAAACGATGGGAAAAAGATAGGAAGAAGTAAATCACAAACATTCTTGTGGATCTTCAATCTTCGTGTCATCCACTTTTTAGTTGGAATCTCAAAACTTTTTTTTTTCGATATCCCCTGTTTTTTAGTCTCAAAAAGTCTTAGTCTCACCGTCGAGGTTGAAATTAAACTTACAAATGCAAAATCTGTTCACAGCACCTAAGTGTCCAAACGCATGCATGGAGAAAACTCCGCTTCAACTTCGTAGTGCCTAGGCCCCCGACATTCTGCCTTTGTGCCCATTTTTTAGCGCCTTGGCTCACTTTGCTTCTTTATTTGCTATTTTTCTCCTCTTTATTTCAACTAAAGAAAGAAATTCTAAAATCAATTAAATAAATTATCAAAGAAAATGTCCATAGAAACTATCAAATAACTAAAAAATTCTTTAAATTACTAGTCTGAAAATTCACTTTAACATGACTTCCACCATGTTTAATTAAATTGATTAAGATTAATATTGAGTGAATAAATATTAAGGTGGCTAACTAATTACAACAACCAAGTTTATTTATAAAAAATCTAAAGACTAAAACTAATTTTTTAAAAGATATATATATATATATATATATATATATATATATATATATATATGTGCTCGAGTTGGCCCGTATAATCTCAATAGAATTTAGTTCAAGGATATGATTAAGTGGTAATGATTAGCCAAAGCGAGCATAGCTCAGTGTTAATTGACATATACCTCAAAATAAGAGGTTGTGAGTTTGAATCCCCCCTCTAAGCTTAACCGGTTGGATAACATTTTGTTTTGTTTTGCTCTCTTTAATCTTCCCATTTTTGTCCCATTTAATTTTTTTTAAATGAAGAAAATAGAATTGCATTCGATAACTATTTTTTGGTTTTTTTTATTGAAAATAGAAATAGAAAACGTATTTTGTAACCATTTCTTGTTTCTTGTTCTCTAAAATTTTAAATTAAAAAAGTAAAATTTTCATTATGAAAATTAATTTTTTAATTAAAATATTCAAAATTTTATGTCATATTTGTTCTTAATATTTATTATATGCATTTTATAAGTCAAATATGATAAAATAGTGATTTTATTTATGTTTTGAGAAAAACTAGAAACGGGAACAGAATCAAGAAATTTGGAGTTCGTTTAGTGACGTTCTTGTTTTGTGTTTCCCGTTTATCATTTGTGTTTCATCTTTCTAATTTTTTTTATAACTAGGAATAAGAATACGTTTGGTAACCATTTTTATTTCTTATTTCTTGAAAAAAAGAGATGGAAACAAAAATATTTTTGTTAACTATTTCTCGTTTCTTGTTTTTCTTTTTTAGTACAACAACTTGTGAGAGTGAAGATTCGAACCCCCTATTCACGAAAGATATATGGCTTCACTCATATTTACTTATTTTTATTTTTAGTTAAAATAAAATTTAGTAAAATATATTTTTTGCTTAAGAAAATATTAAAAAAAAAAACAAACAAACAAATTAGCATTTGTTTATTATGAGAGTTGAACTTGGACCAGGTAGGTAGACATAAAACTATAGTTCAATGCATGCCCTAGAGGCCCTTTGACAGAGAAATTAAAAAATAAACGAAAATGAGATAAACGAAACTATTTCTTATAGTTTCCAAAACTAAACTTGACTCTATTTTTTGGAAACGTTTGTCAAAATTTAGGAACAAGAAATATAATAGGTTATTAAGCATATCTGTTTCAAATAAAAAAAAAACACAGGAATAAAAAATAGAAAACAAGCATATCTTTCATATATATAGCTCTTAAAAAAACCTATTTTAGTATTTATTTTTCTATGAATAAATTTAATTCTTGTTATTATTTAGTCATCTAATATCTATTCACTCAATATTTACCTTAGCCAATTTAATTAAACATGATCAAAGCCACATTATCTATCTAGCTATTAAACAAATTATGATCCTAGATACAGCTTAGAACCAACAAAATTATTATGATAGTTATGATAGTACTACGCAGATTTTTTTCAATGTTTTGTTATCAATGATTTAAAAATGAGTTTTGACAAAAATTAAAACATGTATTTAATATCTTGACACTTCATCAAATGAATAAATTCAAAACAAATAGTGTAGCGTTCAGAACATTACTGGAGAAATACAAAATACAAATTATTGAAAAGGTGAGATTCCGCACTATTTTATTCCATTGAAAGAGCTCCGACTTAATTGGACATCACTCTCTGCCATAACTTCTGGTCGAGTATATGCATCAATTATGCATAATAGTTCACTGATCGAGCACTCTTGCGTCGAAGATAAACGGAGCTAAGCTAGTGTTTGAGGAATCTCTTGAACCAATAAGTTGAGCTTTTTGGGTATCTTTTCGTTCCATCTTTGTAATCAACAAAGTTGATGCCAAACCGAACTGTATAACCACTCGACCATTCAAAGTTGTCCAACAAGGACCAGGCAAAATACCCTTTCACTTTCACACCATCCCTTCAAAAATTTCCAAACATATATATGCAAGTAATTAATATAGAGAAAGTAGAGAGAGAAGAGAAGAGAGAGTTGTGTTGAAAATACTCACTCAATTGCTTTACGTAGGAAATAGAGATGAGCTTGATAGTAATGGATCCTGAAATTGTCCACAAGTGCTTCCTTTAGGGGGAGAGTGGCATTGTTAACCTCATCAACTCCTACAATAAACCCAAGTATGTGTAAGAATGGTTATGGACACTGTTGAAAGAATGTGATAGAACAAGGGCGAGCGGCGATTATCCGTTGATAAGTTTTGTTAAAGATATCAATGTGCTTAGAGAACAAGAGTATTCGATTTGGATAACTACAAATATTATGATGTGTTCGACAAATGAATAACTATTTAAAAAGAACACTTAGATGATCCATGATTCGAGGAAGAAGATTGTTGGAATGCATCATGCAAACCTAATTTTAACTGTTAGAGAAGGCGAAAGTAGGAGTATAATAAGCTTTGTTATACTGTTATAAAGATATAGAAGTAGGAGTGTAAAGAGGTATATGTCAAATTGACCCGACTGATCGAACAAATGTCGATCAGTCGGTTTTAGTGACCGATCGGTCGATGGTCAGCCAGCAAAACCCCCCTATAACTGACCGAACCAACGGATATATACATCTTTTCAAAAAAAAATTATTTGTATATATATAAAAGGGATTTTTTAGAGTTTACCGCCTCCCTCCCATTTCATTTTTTTTACTCTCTCAGACTCCTCTAGTCTCTCACCCTCTCCGGCTGTCCATGTCCCTCGCGGCTGCCACCCAATCGCCTCGCCTCACGCAGTGACTGTCGTCGACCCCCACCCAACCTGGCATCGTGCCGTCGACCCCCACACCTACCTACTCCCTTTCCCTCACTCACCCATCACCCCACATCGCGTCGCCGCCCCGTTTCAGCCACTACCCGTCATCACTTGTAAAACACCAAAGTTAAAAAGGGAAAAAAAGAAGAAGATCGGTTTGTGATCAATAATCGACTGACCGAACTGACAATAGATCGGTCAGTCGGAGTTTTGTCTAGTCGGTCGGTCGACGGTAGTTTTCGACCAGAAATTAATCGACCCGACCTACCGATGCAAACCCCGATAGAGAAGGTCTTTATTAACACACATTAATAGCAAAGCTTATAGTTAACCTACCGTTCTCAGTGATATAGATGAGGGGATTATTGTACTTGGCTTTTGTATACAGCAGCACGTCTCGAATGCCTCTAGGATAAACTGCGAGCCATGGGGAAGCTGCCTTGGGACCGATGGCTATGCCATTGCGCTCGGTCAAGAGCTTGGCTCGAGCGTCGGTGAAGTAGGTGGTGCGGTTGGCGTTGGGAGGCGTGTAGGCTGCATAATTGGCTGTGTAGTAATTGAATCCAAGAAAGTCATACGACCCTTTAACCAACTTAGATTGCTCTTGCGTGAACTTTGGTAGTCTCTTCCCAACAAGAGACTTCATGCTCTCTGGATAATCTCCAAACGTCACTGGATCCATGAACCTGCATTTTGGGAACAATAAAGTTCAATGTATTTTGGAACAATAATTTCAAAGTGGTTTTAAAATTGAATGTTGAAAATACGACCAAAGTTGAATATCATTAGTCAGGAAGAAAGAAAATTCATGATATATAAGTAGTAGACAATATCTTCGATTTCGTTTGTACGAAATTTTATTGATGAAATCAATAATAAAATCATTAAATTTTTTAAAACATCAGGAAGGGATTAAGATAAGGAACTAAATGTAAATTCAAACTTGAAAGGTAAGTTGAAATGTAAAACACAAGGAACTAAATTGAAAGTTTTAAATAATATTGATTAAATTGAAAAAACAGAAAAATATTAGGGATTAAGATATATATTTAACCTAAAGAAATTTTTTTTTTTTGGATAAATTATTTAGCCTAAAATTTAAACTAGAATGAAAAAAAAAAGGCTAAAACTTACCAACCAAACATGAAATCAAGAGCTCTCTGTGCAGCATTGCGATGTTTTCTCCCATTGGAAACTGGAACAAACCAGTGCGATACTAGGGTTATTCCTATCAAACCCTTTTGAGATTTCTGCAAATAAATTTGAAGCTCATTTCAATTATTTCAGATTATCATATTAATGCCAAACCAAATTTTGTAATAAATATCAAATTTCCGTTATTACTTTCACTAAAAATGAAGTCCTTACTAATGATTGAATTTCAATCTTGGCTTATGATTAACTGTAATTTTAATTTAATATAATATCCTTATGCTTTCAAAACTTTTATTGTGATTCCTATATTGAATGATGTTTACATATCATGCAATAGAAATCTAATTACTCAGGGTCCGTGGGTAACATTCCCGTTTTTTGTTTCTCGTTTTCAATTTTCTTAATAAATCTAAGTATTTTTTTTTTTTTGTTTCTCCTTTTTTTGAGAACATTCTCATAATTGTGTAGAAATTTTAGAAACAACCAAAACTAATTTCTCCTTTCTTATTCTCATTTCCAATTTGTTCCAAAACATAAATAAAAAGAATTGTTTATCATACTTGAATTCTTAGAGATTGGAACCATGCAATACATTTTTCTTCATTAAAAATAAAGAAACATAAACGAAAAATAAGAACGTTACCAAACAAGACTTTCAATAAGCTATTTTGTGGCAAAACATAAAAAGAATATATGTCCCACAAACATCGTCATTGTGCGTCGACTCTAGCCCTTTTTACTTCTCAACTAAAATAATATCTTCAACCTAACCCAGATTCGGATTTTGTCGACGAATGTGATTTATCAAACTCTTATATTAGTACTAAAACATAAAATGTCACATTAATGAAACTCAGGTACACCATGTCGAGAAATAACTCATCATGTTTTTGCTCACTAATAGTAGGGACATCTAGAAAAATTTAACTTAACCAGGTGGGAACTCATAAATGTGAATAATTTAAAGTGTTTTTGACTCTTAAAAGTAAATAGAAAAAGATGGGTACAAGATTAGACCTGATATTTGTCTCGATAAAGTTTGACTGCAGTCGCATGAGCAAGAATTTGGTAGTGAGAAGCAAGATATGGCTCAGTTGCAGCGTTTCCACCGCTACAGTTGAGGTGCATCCATGAGGAGCATCTATTTGGAGCAAATGAACCTTGTGCGTAACCACCCATACTATAACTCCATGGTTCATTCAATGTGATCCAATGCTTCACTCGGTCTCCAAACTCTTTAAAACAAACTTCCGCATAGTCTTGAAAATCATTCCTTTACATTCAACACACAATTATTGGTATTAGTATTCTTATGGTTTTTCTACTTTGCTTTATACATAGGTTACTCCACTAAAATAGGTTTAAAAAAAAAATCTATGGACAAGCGGGACAATAAGATATATGAAAGTAATTATCAAACATTTTAAAAGAACTAAGATATATGAAAGTAATTATCAAACATTTTAAAAGAACTTGTTTCTAAAGATAATATTCCCATGAAGCCATGAACATATATAACTCAGTCGTAATTGACATGTGCTTTTCTTGAGATCGGAGATTCGATTTTCTATATCCTCAAAGTAATTGGTATTTGATGATAAACTATTTTGTCTTTGATTTTTTTGTTTTTTAAAACTAAGTCTGTAAACACACTATTTAATCCATTTATTTATTTATTTATTTTGTTTTCTATACTTTTTTGAAATCTAAGTTACATTTTAAAAACTAAAAAAAAATACTTTTCAAAAACTTATTTTTATTTTTCAAATTTAGCTCAGAATTATTCAATGTGTTTTTAAGAAAGGGTAAAAGTAAACGAAAAAATTTGTCAACGAATCAACATAATTTTTAAAACTAAAAATATAATTATCTAATGAAACCTTAAGTAAATAAAATATTATGGCCACTTTGATCACTTACACAATATGAGGGCTCAAGAAACCACCATATTCATCTTCTAAGGCTTGTGGAAGATCCCAATGGAAGAGTGTAACAAAAGGCTTTATTCCTACACTTCAATAAAAATAAATAAATTAAATCAACAAAATTTAGAGTCTAAACATACTTTATTGACCAAACCAAATCAAAGATTTGTTGGAGAAAACAATTTGTAAAAGCCTTCTTCTAAACATCTAATTGGTTGCCTATTTGCTTAGTAAAAATTTTGTTTTAACAAATTTTGTATTTCCTTCTTGTTTTATGCTCATCATTTCGTTACTTTTTTTTTTTCTAAAGCTACTCGATCATAATTTTTAAAATAATTTCACAAAACAAAAACAATAAACACCTGCTAGTAATAATAAACATAAACAGATCGACATAATTCAATTGATTAAAATATATATCTTTAACTAAAAAGTTGGAAGTTTGAATCTCCACTTTATATGTTGTTGAACTTAAAAAAAAATAATAAATGAAAATGAGTTTTATATAATGTAATGACCTTTAGCCAATAACTCATCGATAAGGCTATTGTAGTATTGAATTCCTTTCATGTTCACTCCCCCAGTGAGCTTTCCTTCTGTCAAAATAAAAGAATTTGTGAAGTTGAGAATTTGATTAAAATTAATAATGAAAAATGGACCATAGTACATACTTTTCTTGATGTGTACCAAATTATTATTCAACTTGAAGGCTTTAAGTTATTAGGGGAAAAAAATAAGTTTAAAACAATAGGAAATTGAGAGAAAATAAAATTGCAAAGGTTAAAAACTCATATCACCTTCTAATACCATTTTTAATCACTCATAGGCACACAAGGTTAAGTTAGTTATTAAATTAATAAGAAAATAATAATAATATTATCTACCGTAAAAGGACATAATCAGTTTAGTTATTCGTTTTATCATATCAAACATGTCAGTATTAGTACGGATAGTACATAAATGTAACTCGTTGTCCTTACTCCTACTCGAACTATTTGGGATTTAAACACGAAAGAAATCATTTGCTTGCCCACGGAATCAATAGAAATTTGTAAGGTTGACATATTTTCGGGAATCTCTAGATCTACACTTATTTAACAACTCTCTACACTAAAGCATTTCACAATAAGTTGGTAATTAAGTTCAAGATAATGTCGATCAAGAAATTAAAATCTAACCTGTGAACCTAAGATATTGCTAACTTGAATGCATAAATCTCCATTATTAATCTCTATTCTCTAATTTTATTGGTTCAATCGGTTGGTTGGAGGTACATGTGAATTACCGTTGAGCTATGCTTGTTTTGGCAGTAAAAAAATACTTTCGTTGTCGAATAAAGATTTATTTAATATCCTATCCATATTAAATTGATCTAAATTTAATACTTTATTTTCTCAATACTATTTTTTCTCTAATAAATAAGAGAAACGACAACGCTTCATCAAAATAAACCTAAAAAAAGGTTACCTATCAATTAAATTTATGGACTCTTTTTCCCTTCAAAAATTGGATTTTATTTCATTCTATACTATCATTAATTAAACTAAAAAGGAAACTTACTTGGCAGGATTCTGGACCAAGAAATTGAAAATCTATAAGCATCTAAATTCATGTTCTTCATAATCCCAACATCTTCCTGTTTCATCACAATATTAAAACGTCAAAATTTTGGATTAATTATACATATTAATTGTTAATGGAAAAATGGTATTTTATAAAACACCAACTCATACTAAAATTATGATATAAAATCAAATTGCCGAAATAAATAAATAAATCATTTGAAAGGAAATAAATCATTTAATTAAATAATTGATTTTATTGTGTGATATAACATGTTCTTTACCTTGTAGTGATGGTAAGCATCATTAGCTACATCTCCATTGCTCCCATCAATTATTTTGCCTGCCATTCATCCCAAATATATATTATTATATTATTTATCACTAGAGAGATTAAATAATTTAGAGAGATTAACTAATAATTCTTTTTGTATTATAATAATTCAATTTAATTTTTAAAGATAAGTTTGTTTACTATATATATATTTGAGTTGATATAGATTTTATGTTTGGAAGATTACAAAAGAAAATAAATGGTATTGGTAATTAATTAAATTCAATTTTTAATATAAAAGAAAACTAAACGGCAATTATCCTTTTAACAATTATCTTTTATATTGTAACATATTTTTAAGGAACATTTCAAAAATTTAGCCAAGTTTTTAAGGATCTGGTAAATGAAAGTTATTAATAAATAATTTTAATCTTTAAAATTAGGATTATTATAAATAAGAATAAAGTTGGTGTGGTTCAAATCTTTAAACTTTTAAATTCTTTATTTCATTCTCTAACTTTATACCTAAAAAAAAGTTTTTAGTTCTAATTATTGATTTCTTATTAATTAATTATTGTAAACTTGGATCTATTTCCAAACACTCAATATCTAACTCACTACATTTTGTTTTAAATATTTGTCAACGTACGTAAAATAGATTTTTGTTAAATAATTAGACCATTGACAAGGAATAAGTTAAATTTAATATAAATTGAACAACTAAAAGAAATTAAGAATCAAAATAAAATAAATATAAAATTTAAACAATCCATAATCGAATATACAACTAAAATTATATTAATATCAGCCTTAAATCAAATATAAATTAAAATTATGTTTGGATGGTTATTGGTTAATGTATTTCTACTTTTTTTTCATAGGTAATAAATTCGAACCTTGACTCTATATTTCTAATTTAATATCTTTTAAAAAATAATTAAAAAATCAATTTGTGGGCCAGTGTGTTTTTCCACTGTTAAAAGGGTCAAAAACTTTACACTTCTTTTCTATATAAATAACGTTTATTTTTTTGTCTAATATTAATAAATAGACTGAATATTATATTATATTATTAAAATACCTTTTTTTTAACCCAATTAAATAGTATTTGTTAGACTTTGTCTGGTCTAATCGAGATCCTCAGAACAATTGTATAAAATATATTACAACTTTAGTTGACGCGCAAAAAATATATTATTAAACAAATATTTTTTCAAAATCAAAGTTCCTCTATTTTCATTTACCTATATTTTCCCTTTAATTTTTACATTGAAATTTTAGCTTAATTTTAAAAATGGAAAAATAGTTTTTTAGGGAAAAAAAAAGCAAGTGGATAACTTTGTCTTTCTTAAATATTTACAAACATGTAGTTTTATTTTTTTTTTAAAAGTAATTATAAAAATGGTATTATTAAAAAAGATAATTGCAATTATAAATTTCTAAATAAAAAAACATATCAATCCTTAGTTGATTATTATAATGATTTTTTTAACTACAACAGTTTGTTCTCACTTTGATAAAAAGAGAACAGGTCAATTACCACTAATTATGTTCATATTTGTGACTATAATAATGAAAGTTAATGCACCTTTTTTAATGATGATTAATGTATTTTTATCTTATAAGATAATTATTGGTTTACATAATTAATAATTGGCCTTGATGATATTGATTGAGTACTATCATAGTAATTGTTGACTTCTTTTTTAGTTCCTTTAAGAAAATAGCAATAATTGATTAAAAACAAAATACTGTAATATAGATTTTTCTTACTTTTATTATTTCTACCATTATTTCACATTTATTAGAATGGTCAATTATGCCTTAAAAGAAGATCAAAGGAAACTTCTCTTCTCATCAAAATTATTTCTATCTCTACATTTACAATAACTATTATCAAAATTATTTCTATCGCTATGTTTACCATAATTATTAGATATTCATAAATGAATTAAATTTACCGCTTAAACTTTTAGGTTAAGTGATGGTTTATTCTTCCTTAATATGGTATCGGAGTGAAAGTTCCTGTGTTCGAACCATGGTGATTTATTCATCCTTAAGAATATCTATATTGATATAGGTAAATCCACGAGCAACATCATATAAACATACACTTAAAGTAGATAATATCATGTATAGTATGTAGAACGAGAGAACACAAAAAGAACATAAACGACTAGATATGAGTAAAACCAAAAGCAAAGTCCATAATGGTAGAAGATCGAGAGAGAACATGCGAGACCTGAGAATTTGTGTGCGAAGGCATCCCAAATACTCGGCCCTCTCCCGTCTTCATTTGCAGCACCTTCATACTAAAAAACACAGACAATAAACAACCTTGAATTCCAATAAATGGCTCCAAATTATTAAAATCCTCACCTGGTAAGCCGATGAAGCTGTCCCAAAAACAAACCCTTGTGGAAAACTACTTCTGTTCAAAGACTCGACGCCATAGCTAGGGTTTCCACCAACACCAGCAACAACAAGAATATGAAGAAGAAGAAGAAGAAGAAGCTCTCTTAGAAGATTGCCCTCCATCGCCATAGATTTCTTATTTTGGTCCCAATAAAAAGCACTTTTATAATTGGATCATGAGAAAAGAAACTCCCAAAAAGCACACATACAATAATGAAAAACAATTATTGGTTGTAGTAAAAAAAACAATTATTGTAAATTTTCAAATATATGTGTCATGTCAAGAGAGGAAAAAAAAAAGGTTGAAAACACCAAAGAAGAAGAAAAATGTTGAAACTTCATGTAAAAGATTCTACCTTTTTTCAAGTATGGACAAAGACTCAAAACAGACACACCCACTAAGGATGTTTGAGATGGGAATCCTTAAATTTGTTGCCATAAATGGGATATAACTTGTTTAATTAGTATTTGGATGTTAATTTTGATCCAAAAAATCTCTATCCCAAAGTCTGAAAATTTAATTTACCTAAACTAAGGGTTCGAAATTAAAATTAAATAATCTAATTTAAATTCACTTAAATAGGTAAGAATTTCAAGATATGACTTAAAAGCTATATAAATGAATCTAATCTGGAACAAATGGACTTGTACATTTTATTTGTGAAGTTGTTCAGAAATTAAATGTAAATCAGTGGGTGATCTTGATCTTTTTGGCTTTATTAATAAGTGTGGTGTTGTTTAATCTATGTTATGATCTAATTAAAGTTAAAAAAAAGTACCCAATTATATTTTATTTTTGGTTTTTTTTAATGGTTCAATATATAGATCTAATAGTTTATTCACACAAAAGACAAAATCTCTCCGGAGTATTTTTTTTTTTTTTAATATTCGTGAGTGTTCGAGTCAATTTGCAGTACCTCGACTAATTTCACAGGAGAGCTGCTGACCTTACTACTACATTTTGTTCTCAAGAAAACATATAGAAATTAATTCCTAAGTGGGGCTATTATGGAGTTTGAATTCATTCTCGTTTGATTTACCAAAACTAATTTTTGTTAAAAGAATGACAAATGGAAAATGTGTATTGACAACAAAAATAAGTAATATTTTTATTGCTTATATTTTTAAGTTTTAATAGAAACATTTTAGTGTTGTTTTAACGTTACTGAATTGATTGTTTAACGTTTCTATTAATCGATTCTTTTTTGTAACGTTTTAATTAATTAATTCTGTTATTCCTTTTTAAACAAAGTCTTCTACTTGAAGGGACGCAAAGCTTTTGACGAGATTTTTTGAGCATGTTTTCCGATTTCATTCGATACTGACGATTATACGCCTGAGTTCAAAGTTGTATTAACCTTGGGGAGCAACCGACTTACATACGATCTAGCACCATGGTCGTATCGAAATTGCTTTCAAGACAGTGGCCTCGTCCACGACACAACGATCTTTTCATCTAAATTTCTCCTTCTATTTTCAATAATTTACTTGTCATTTTTTACTTTTTGAAACCATTTCAATCTACTAATGAATTTCTGTGTTTTGTAATATATTTTTAAAAATATCATTGACTAGTCAAGGACATCTATCCGACCAAATAGTCGCGAGTTCAAATCTCTTCTCCCACGTATTATACTAAAAATAATAATAAAAAAAAAACCTTGAACCTACCACCGGCCTCGATCTAGTCTCTAAGACGAATAGAAACTTCCCTTTTGGTTAAAAAGCGAAATTAAGATCACACATTCATAACTGTCATTTTCTAAATCCTAATTAGATTACTTAATTTTTAATATTAAATAAATTTTAAACATCGGTCTTAATGATTGGTGAAAATGCTTTTCAAAAGTAAAAACCTAAATAAATAGTTATGATTAATAAAGAAATTATAATTTTTAATAATATAAAACTAAAACAAAACGATTGTCCAACAAAACTTAAATTAATCATAATTAACTACACCATTGTAAAAATCAACATGTTTGTGATTTAATAACTTCAACTCCCTCCAATATTACTTTATATCATTTGAAGGCGGCCTTTTTTATACAATAATTGGAGGGAGGATTCGAAATCGTGACTTTAGACATATGTCAATTGTCGCTGAACTAAACTTATGTTGACTATTTCAAGGCGGCTTGATTTAAGGTATTAGAAAATTCGAATATTATTGAAGTTTCAAATTCGTTCGAGAAGACTGAATAAGAAGACTTTTTGTCCTTATTTGTTCAAAAAACCAGTTAAATATTGCAAATCCTTCATATCTATTACAGATCACAATTAGATCATGAAGAAATTTCAAGCTATTCCAACCCCATGAAGTAATAGTCGTACCAACTTGATAGAAACAACTGGCCCTAATTTTTTTGTTTTTTTCTCTTACAATATAAACGATTTTGTAATTTAAAAAAAAAAGAAAATAAAAGGTAATTTTGTCTCAATTCTCAACAACTTATGAGAAAAATACAAAAGAAAAAAGTAAAATAAACGTCTCTTTAGAAAAGTTGGGAAGAAAACGAGGAAGACAAACAAACGGATGGCCGACTTATCTGTTTCGTTCAAAGACAAAATCATGGGTTTTTCTGTCTTTTTGTAATTATATTTAATTTATAAGTCTAGACTCAAGAGTTTATTTAATAGTTTGAAATTTTAAAATTAAATTCATGTAATTCTAATTCTAAATTATGTTTCCATTTAGTGCTGAGGCTCTACATTGTTCCTTCTAAATATTAAATTAAGGTAGGAGATTAAATAATAAAGTTAAAATTATAGAGATTTTACCAAACAGAAATATAGCTCGTTAGATTTAGATACTTATATGAGGTCAAAATGTAATGAGTTCGAATTTCTACTCCAAATTATACAAATATAAAATAAACGCGTAACCATCCTACTAAAAAAATCACCCTCAACGTTTTTAATATTCATGAAGTTTCATTTCAAAACTAATTGGCAATGAGGAGTAGCTCATGTCTTTATAAACTATTGTAAGGTCTTTTTTCTTTTCAATGTGTGATCCTTAACATGTCCTCTCAAGATCGTCGCTCTTTTGGCTCATCGAGCTTGGTCGGATCCTATTTTTTGGACCGGATGCTCGTTTGAGCATTTTGGAAATGAAATTTATGTTTAAAATTTAATTTTTAATTTCCACGTCTTGAGGAAGGAAAAACAATCATTTCTATGTGTTTTTCAGTACAACGTTGTAGGATCAAGTTTGCTTGTATCCATGAAGTATGGATTGTTACTCTCCAACCATATATATTGCAAAGAAAAGCCCCAGCTACATATATTGATCGAAACACATCCCTACTTCTTTGTTTGATATTAACCTTTTTCAAAATTAAGCTAAATTTAAAAATTAAAAATAGTAGATTCAAAACATGTTTTTGTTTTTGAAATTTGGTTAAAAATTGGAATATGTCAACAAAGAAATTAAGAGTGAAATGGTTATCGGACCGTCCTAAATAAACCAAACTCTAAAATTATAAAAGTATGATAATTTATAGAGTGTGTTTGGGGAAAGGAATACCCTGGACACGTGGAGGACCCCTAGTGGTGCTTCAAGATGGCTCATGAGTCATGCCCAGCTCGGATAGCCGAGATGGCCGCCGCCAACGCCGACAAATGCTAAGTATGAGGGCCGAGGTGAACCTGGCCCAGGCCTGACCTACCGGGGAACTCGGTATGGGCCGAGATGAGCAACTGTCTGCGGCGTGATTATCGGGCGTAACCGTCGGTCCCGAGATTACCGGGCGTAACCGACGGTCCCGAGATTACCGAATGTAACCGTCGCTAGATTAGCGAGACCACCACCCATAAGTAGAGGACCTCNTCGGTCCCGAGATTACCGGGTGTAACCGACGGTCCCGAGATTACCGGGTGTAACCGTCGCTAGATTAGCGAGACTACCACCCATAAGTAGAGGACCTCACTCCCCGACCAGGTACGAGGATTTCTGGCTTCGAACTAAACTTGGAATCCGACCTATACTGACTTGATCGTCGGAGTGCTCACCTTTTTGTGCAGGTCCGCCTAAGTGTTCAGATCGGTCCGGAGGCCGAGTTCGAGCTACAATCAGGAACACACTGTTGTGCACATCTCTGCATAAACATAGTGGTTTTTGTCACGTAAAAATTTACAACTTTTAAATACAATTTTCATGACTTAGGTAAACTACCAACGATATGAATTTACATGTAAATTACATACGTCGTACGTGATTTACTCCATGTAACTCGTAATTAAGATTTACCCTCTCTCTCACATGCAACATTAATCTCTCTGTTGTCAAAGCGAGCATAGTTTAGTGGTAGTTGGCATATATCTCCAACCAAGAGATTGTGAGTACAGTCTCCCACCTCGATACATCGTACTTAAAAAATATTAATATCTCTTTATAACATGAATCATTCGTAACGCAAGTTAATTATATCATCTCTCTTGCCATATGCAAACCCACATTCTCCTCTCTATCGTGAACATCACTCTCTCCCTCTCATTCAACATTTTTCTCTCTAACATGCAATGGGTACATCAAAACCTCTCCTTTGAAAGATATATCAGAATCGACAGTGGTGGATCTAGACTCTTATATTAGATGAGACGAATTCGTATAAATTACAGATAGTGAAATATGATTGATTTTAACGCTGATCGATAATAATATATATGAATTTTTATCCTAAACTTTCAATTTGACCCCATTACACCTTAAATTTGAATAATCAGCATTATAACCTTCCCCTTAAACTTTTAAAATTGTTGTAATTTTTTTCTCTAATAGATTTTCATCTGAAAATTTGTTGAAAGAAGTACTCTCATGTGTGTTAAAAGGAATTATAAAAATATATAATTGATATGAAATTGATAGGATTTGAACAAAAACAATAGTAGGGATGTTTTTCTTTTTTTGTTTTTTTAGGTTTAGATGATGTAATTTAATAGTTGATTTTGTGCATTAATCAGCCATAATTTGAAAAAAAAAAAAAATCTTGTATACTCTTATAATAAATAGTAACCAATCAGAAGATTATTTCAAAGATCATCCCTGCCTTTATTGAGAAGTCAGAATGAAGAGATATAAAGGTGGGACATCCAATAATATTTGTGGTTTTGTTAATTAATTTTTTATTTAAATTAATAGGTGAATTAGCAGA